CTTAGTTGTCTCTTGTATCACCGAGTCTTTTAAAGTCATGTAGTCATGTGGTTGAGCTCTTATTGTCCTAGTGACGACGTAAGTATTCCCGATAGAATGGTACCAGTGGTGCTGGAAATACTATTCGTCGTGACTTTAATCATTCTTTGATTTGTGGAATCTGGTCACTCACCAATTGAAGAGCTCTCTCTAAACAACGATATGCATCGAGTGGTTTCTGTGTGCGTCTCAAATGCAACTTATTGTTGATGTTAAATGCGAGGATAGTAGTTGGAACCTTGAAACCCTTTGACATCTCCGTGGACTGGACTCGCAGCTGGTTTTTGCAGTTTTGAAATCGTTGTGACTCGCCATAAGGCATAATTTGTGCTAATACTTTTGCCGAATAGTTGTAAGACCAAACAGGTAACCTCCCAGGCAGCTTATTGGTCACTTAACACTCACAAAATGTGCCTCTCTTTTGACTGACCTACCATTGCAGCAGTTTGAGGTGTGTTATTCTGGCGTCAAGCATATGTGACACATTCTTCCCACGAAATTTCCTCCAGTACCTTTTGCGGCCCCCTTTAGCACATCCATTCAAACTAATTGACTTGATAAACAAAACTTGATAGAATAGTGGAAGCGGAGTGTTAGTGACGAAAGAATAAAGGTAGGCAGTTGACCTAAATTAGGTTGGTGACTAGTTTTTTGACTACCATGGGCAGAGTTGAGTAGATATAACAAAATTCGTTTCCAGGCTTGCAAATTGCACTCGAATGTGAGTGTTGAAGGGTTGCAATGGGACCTTTTCCTGTTTGATATTGGTTTGATTGAGCAGGTCTCATTGACGTTGCCCCGAATGTCTGTTGACCTTGAGTTAGGCTTGTGAATCATTGCCCACCTCCGTTGACACTATTGAGTAGATTTAAATGAACTTTTTCATGCTGGCAAATTGCACTCGCATTGGAGGTTTGAAGCATCGTTTTGCTGCCGTATTCTGGTCACTTTTGGCTTGACTGAGCAAATCGGGTTGACGTCCTTGCGAATGACTGTTGACCTTGAGTAAGGCTAGCGAGTATTGTTCTGACGACCATGGGCACAGTTGAGTGGATTTAGCGGAACTCGTTTGCATGCTGCAAAATTGCACTTGAATAGGAGATTTGAAGTGTCGTATTGTAGCCTAGTATTGGTCAGCTTTGGTTTGACTTCGCGAATCCCATATACTTCTTTCCCAATATCTGTTGACCTTATTTTA